AAAAAAAAAAGCCATGAATTCTATGTGCAGTATTCCCCTAGCACTGGAGTTCTCACATTCTCCTTGATCGGTAAACTTGGTCTTGGCTTGCTGGCTGTTTGTGCTGATCTTCTGGGGGAGGGGCCTGTTGCCGTGGTTCCCAAATGTCTTTGTCGGAGGCAGAATTGCTCCGCCCTTGTCGGTCCAGGCTAAGCAAGCTGCTCGGGTTTGCCCTCGGGAGATTTGTTCCCTGCAAGCTCTGGCACAGCTTTGGAGGACCAGGTTGAAAATGGTGGCCTCCCAATCTCCACCGGGAGGAGCTGAGAACTCGGGGCCCTGCTCTTCAGTGCGCCCCCAGAAAAAAGCAGTCACTCCCGTCTCCCTGGTCTCCGGCCGCTCTCCGTGCTCACCCGGCCTGTGACCGAGTGTTTCTATCTCTGGCACCCGACCCCGTGTGGAGTCTCCAAACCCAGCAGATCCCTGCGGTGCACTCCCGCGCCGTTCCTCCCTGGGGAGGAAGGGGAGTCTCCCCAGCTCTGCCGCTTGTTGGGTCCCTGCTGGAGGAGCAGTGGCCCGACTGGGCCACAGATCATAGTTTATGGCAACCCTGAGCTGAGAGCCCGCGCCTCGGCTCCATCTCTGCAGCCGGTTTCCCCACTCCGATACCTGGGAGTTCTGCCGCACTCAGGCACCCCCGGTCTTTCTCTGACCGTGAGGGTCCTGAGACTACCCTGTCCCGCGAGGTTTCCACCCCCGCTTAGCCACTGGAGCGACGTCCCTCCGCGGAGCCGACTTCTAAGAGTTCCGATTTTGTGCTCCGCGGCTCTATCACTTGCCAGAAGCGGCCGACAGAGGCCCCCTCCCCCGCCATCTATCCTCCCAAATATGCCTCGGATTCACTTCTCCGCACATCCTACCTTCCAGTAGGTGGTCGCTTCTCTGTTCAGAGAGTTGTTGCTACTGTCTTCTTCGGTCTCCTGTTGAGTTCGTAGGTGTTCAGGATGGTTTGATCCCTATCCAGCTGAATTCCTGATACCAGACAAAATCCAGGTCTCCTACTCCTCCACCATCTTGCTCCGCCCCCCTCTAGATGTCCATTTCAAAGCATCTTTAGATACAGTGAGGGCAGGGAGTCACAATCAGATTTTTCTGGTTTGCAGTTTAAATGTCTCTGGTGATCTTTGTACTGGTTGCTCTGTGGTCAAAGATTATCCATACATAAACTGTTGTGATTTCTCTGGTCCCATGCAGTCATTCTTCAATGCTTCAAAAAAAAAAAAAAAAGCAATTTTATTTTTCAATGATTTCAAGTCAAAAGAACGGAAGATTATCAGAAATGTTACTTTGGAAAGATGTAACCAGATGTTTGAGAAACTAGAAGGATTCAGGATCTAGCTTACAGGAAGAAAACAAAACCTCAAAGACCAGTAACAGAACTAGGATCTAAAATCTAAAAAGTTCATAGTTTCAGTTAAAACAATTTTTCTCTAATTACTCCCATTTCTATCAATTATAACCATAGTAAGACAATTTGCGAAGAATTTCAGTGAATTTAGCTTGATTACATACATTAGTACAGTGAGCGTAGTGACTGATCATGCGGGCTCTTTTAAATCTGCTTTGCTGGAAATTTTCATAAGGCGGCACAGACTGAATTTTTAACAGCCTCTTGAGGCTAAGACATAATGCCATCATCCTTTGCCTGCAATACCTACTGACTTGAGTTACTTCCTTTCTTAACAGGGTCCCCAAAATATCCTGAGGTTCCTACACCTGCCTGGAAGTGGCCTTCCTTTACTTACCTGGTAAGGATGTTGAAATCCCTGTCAGCCAGGTATCACACTGATATTTCCAAGGCATGTTATTGGCTCCATAAAGTTAACCTTAGTTCCTTACAGCTGTCTGGTAATATCTGAGCCTATGCAGCTCTCTCTTAAATATGACATTCCTGTCAAAACCTTAGTAATAAAACCAGTGTTCCCAACTATGTCCTAAGGAAGATAGCTTCTAATTGAGCATAAATACATATATTTCCATGCATGTATAAAATTGGAAACTCTCAGTGAGTCAATTCTGGGAGAATCAGGTAGGCAGAAGATCATTATTTCAATTTGGCTCACAAAGGTATAATTTACCAAATTGCTGAGGAAAGGTTTTCCTACATCTGGAAAAGAAGGTTAAAAAAAAAAAACAGTATTTCAAACAAAAGGTCATAAAAATTGTAATTCTCTGTTTATTCAGTCCTATTTGTAATTCTGTTGATTTTGATCTTCTGTTTTATAAAGCTATGGGTTTCTCCATTAGAGTTCTCTAAATTCCTATATTCAGTTCAGTGGTGTGATCTTAAGTTATTAGAGAACTGTAGTCTAGAGATTCATCAGTCTTTTCCCTGAATCTCCTTGAAGATGAAGCACTTTTGCAAAAGCAAAATACATTATATTATATAATATACCCAGACAGATTTCTAGGAGTTTCATACAATTTCTAGAATATTTATTTTAATTATATTTATGGAAATATAATCTAATAAGGTTTAGCATCACTTATTTGACAACGAGTCCCCTGTAACTTAACATACCAAATAAACAATTAACACCTTTCTTTTATAAGGAGGACAAAGCTTTGAAATCTTCCAGGGAGGGGTGCCTGGGTGGCTCAGTCGGTTAAGCGTCTGCCTTCGGCTCAGGTCATGATCCCAGGCTCCTGGGATTGAGCCCCGCGTTGGGCGCCCTGCTCAGTGGAGAGCCTAATTCTCCCTCTGCCTACTTGTGCTCTCTATCAAATAAATAAATAAAATCTTCCAGGGATCCTCTGGGAAATTGCAAACTCAAGAAGACTTCATTTTAGAATTTCATTTTGGGAGGTTTGTCAAAAAAATACAGAATTCAGACTTTTCATTAAACAGAATCACAGATCACTATAAAACAATACTCAGTTATCCATTTAACTATAGTTTTTCTAGGTAACCAAAGACTTGAAGATAAAACACTTTTTCTAGATAGATTACATTAAAAGTTAAACCTTTGTTTATAATTTATTAAAAGCAGAATACATATTGTACTAGCTTTTTATATTAAAATTTAAATAAATCATTTTAATCTTATCCAGAAATCTTTAAGCCATATGTTAAAATTCATTTTAAAGATTCCTGGTTCACAAATGTTTTAAGACTTTTTTTTCACATGTAGATCTTTTGTTTTTCCTCTTTAAATAGTCTCACTTTAAGATCTCTTCTTTATCAAAAACACATGTCCCACTTTTCTTGCATATGGAGAGTTTCCCCTTATTTTTAGTAGTTCTAAACCACATATATTAGAATTTTTAACCCTTAGAAACTTTATAGTGAAAAATAAGTTGTAAGCAATTGTGAACTGTTACATTTAGTGTATTTTAGATTGGCAAATTATGAATATATTCATAAATTTCTAGAAATATGTGCTTCTTCATAACAATCTTCCAATAAAAGTTTTTTCTACCAAAAGAACGACTATTTACTAGAGACTCAAGTTTGTGATAGGGAAGCCAAAAGAATAGATTAACATATGGTCAGTAATTAATGTTTTATTCTATCTTATTGGGAAAGAAGTTAATTCATTGAATATCTAGATGAACTCATCACTTAGCAAAGCTTTAAGGTTTCAGGCTACCAAAAAGACTTTGTGGAGAAACTATTTTAAAAGTTTATTTACAAACTTTTAGATTACCCATAAAAACTTCATAAGATATCAAAGTCAGCCACTCTTTCATGTTTTCTGTTATAGAAAAATTCTATAACCTGATCAAACTTCCAGGGAAGATGTCAGAGTAGGAGGATCCTAGGCTTTCGTCATCCCCTGGATATACCTGGATTACACACACATCACTGTAAATACCCCAGAAAACCACACAAGGACTGACAGAACAGACTTTTCTTAATCTTAGACAAGAAGCCACATTAAGAATGCCTAGATACATGGACACCTATGGGGACAAGCCCAAACCCCACCCCCACTTTCTCCTATGAATCTGCCCCCATCCAACCAGCCACACTGGGCAGGAGTTCGTCCAAAACAGCTCCAGGCATTTTTCCACAGCAGGGTTCTTCCTACAAGCAGACGGGTGCAAACTTTGCCTACACTGTGCATCCCACCCTTGTGTTCTCCTGCAGACTATCCCATCCGACCCACCCAAGAATCCATCCAAAGTGGCACCACAAGCCTGGCAGTGTGCAAGCAGCCCTGAGAGGGGCCAGCACCACTCCAAAGTGCCTTAGGGAAAGTGGAGGATAACCATACACACTAGTTTGCAGCCCCAGCAGTGGGCTTGGGGCAGACATCTGGTTCAACTGCAGGTCGCACCCACCAACAAACACCTCTCAGGGGACAATGCTGGAGAGCACCCTGCAGTTCAGTGCAGCCACAGTTCTGGCAAATAAGCCGAGGGCCGGCATCTGGTCTGCCCCAACTCAAGCCCACTGTGGCCCCAGACTGGTCCCTTAATAACATAGGGACCAAACCCTGCCCATAACAGGCAAAGAGCCATTACAGACAACGGGACTGAAGTTAAATACATCCCAATCACAACAGTAGGGTACACACAATACACATAGCAGATAACCCTGAAACATTAGGTTCTGCTACCTAGGAGATATCACATTGCAGGGTACCACAGGACCTCTTCTTCATAAGACCACTGATTTCAAAAGCAGGAGACATAGCTGAATTTCCTAACACATAGGAAGACAGAAAGACAAAATGAGACAGAGGAATATGTTCCAAATGAAAGCACAAGACAAACTCACAGAAAGAACTTAACATAAAGGAGATAAGCAATATGCCAGATAGAGAATTCAAAGTAATGGTCATAAAGATACCCACTGGACTTGAGAAAAGAGTGGAGGATCTCAGAAAATATTAAAAAGAACCACTCAGAGATGAACTCAATAAGTGAAATTAAAAATACACTAGATGGCATAAATAATGGACTAGAGGAAGCAAAAGGAACGGATTGGTGACCTAGAGGACAGAGTAATGGAAAACAACTAAATGGAATGAGAAAAAGAAAAAATATTAGAAAATGAGAATAGGTTAAGGGAACACAGTGACACCATCAAGTATAATAACATGCACATTATAGGGATCACAGAAGAAGAGAGAGAGAGGGGGCAGAAAATTTATTTTAAATAGCTGAAAACTTCCCTCATCTGGGGAAGAAAACAAATCCAGATCCAGGAGGCACAGAAAGCCCCCAACAAAATCAACCTAAGGAGGTCCACACCAAGACACATAATAGTTAAAACAGCAAAAAATACTGATAAAGAATTTTAAAAGTAGCAAGAGGGGTGCCTGGGTGGCTCAGTCGGTTAAGCGTCTGCCTTTGGCTTGGGTCATGATCTTGGGGTCCTGGAATCGAGCCCTGCATTGGGCTCTCTGCTCAGCAGGGAGTCTGCTTCTCCCCCTGCTCATACTCTCTCTCTCATAAATGAATAAGATCTTTAAAAAGATGTTCTCTCTTAAAAAAAAAAAGTAGCAAGAGAAAACAGTTACATACAAGGGAAACCCCACAAGACTATCAGCTGATTTTTGGCACGATATATTCAAAGTGCTGAAAGGGAAAAATCTGCAGCCAATAATACTCTATCCAGCAAAGCTATCATTAAGAATTATAAGAGAGAAAGGGAGTTTCCCAGGACCCCTCCCCTGAAAAAATATTACAGAAATTCATGAACACTAAACCAGCCTTACAAGAAATGTTAAAGGGGAGTCTTTGAGTGGAAAGGAAAGAACATAAGCAGGAGTATGAAAAATAGGAAAGGAAAATTTTTCACAGGAACATATAAACATGATAAAAATAGTATATGAATCCCTTATAAAACCAATAGAGGTTAAAGCACAACAGCAGTAAAATCAAATATATCTATGAAAATCAGTCGAGGCATTCACAAAATAAAAGGATGTAAAGGATGAAAACATACCTAAAATGTGGGGTGGAGGGAATAAAATGTTTTTAGAATGAGTTCAAACTTTAGTTCAAACCATCAATTTAATATAGACTGCCATACCCATAGGATATTATATATAAACCCAATGGTAGCCACAAATCAAACCACAGACCTAATGGTAACCTGTCACAGATATGCTTGGATTCCTTTCTTTTTAGTTTTTGCATATCACTAAAGAAAGCCATCAAACCACAAGATAGCAAGAAAGGAACAGAGAAGAACTACAAAAACAAGCAGAAAACAAGTAAGATAATGACAATAAATACACACTTATTGATAATTACTTTGAATATAAATGGACTAAACTACCTAATCAAAAAAATAGGATGACAGATGGATAAAATAGCAAGACCCATCTATATGCTGCCTGCAAGAGACTCATTTCAGACCTAAAGACACATGCAGATTGGAAAAGAAGGGATGGAAAAATATTTATCATGAAAATGGAAGTGAAAAGAAAGCTGGGGTAACAATACTTATATCAAACAAAATAGACTTTAAAACAAAGACTAGTAATAAGAGACAAAGAAGTACACTACATAATCATAAAAGGAACAATTCAACAAGAAGGTATAACAATTGTGGGGATACCTGGGTGGTTCAGTCAGTTGGGTGGCTGAATCTTGATTTCGGCTCTGGTAATGATCTCAGGGTCCTGGGATGGAGCCCTGCATCAGGCACTGTGCTCAGTGGGGAGTCTGCTTGAGGATTCTCTCTCTCCCTCTGCCTCTCCCTCCCCCTCTCTAAAATAAATAAAATCTTAAAAAAAAAAAAGGTATAACAATTGTAAATATTTATGCATCCAACATGGGAGCACCCAAATAC